ACTGTTTAATAATTGTAAACAAAGCCGCCAACGATTAAGAAAAGATGTTCGGGTTCGTAACTGCTTCGTGAATCTGGCCCCTGGTGTTCACCTCAAGATGCTGTTGATGTTACTGTTGGTTGAATGTGTATATTGTGAGAACTGTTGTATGTCCATTACTGTATGTTGTATATCCTCCTGTGAAGGTTGTTACCTATACATAGCGAGGGACATTATGGTGTATGTGCAGACCAGGAGTCACAATAACGAGGCTGAAGTATGTTGACCAGACCACACACTAGAAAGTGAAGGGACGACGACGTTTCGGTCCGTCCTGGACCATTCTCAAGTCGATTGTGAAACGACGTCGTCCCTTCACTTTCTACTGTGTGGTCTGGTCAACATGATATATGTATAAATGTTGTCTTACAATTTATTTTAATCGAAGATTCTATTTGTGGATTGAGAGATGTTTAATGGAATGAATAAGTCACATTTCTAAAGTGAATAGAAACTAAGCAATATAACCTACTTATCTTTCACGTAGTCCCTATAACGTGTCAAAATATTAAGGATGAACTAATTTTGAAGATTATATATGTATGTATAATATAGGGGTACCACCTCTGGTGCATTTGTGGATTCTCACTGAACACTTTAATCTTTTCCTCTCCTACCACCCCCATTATTTTATGTGTGTATATATATATATATATATATATATATATATATATATATATATATATATATATATATATATATATATATATATATATATATATATAATAGGTTGAGGAATAGCATGTACCGTGAGCAAGGGGGCCGGTGGAATTTTGTATCCCAGGACACAGTACCAGGTGATATACATCGTCAAATGTCAGTCAGTCAACTGTATTATGTGGTGCAGTTGAGTGAGTCAGAGTTATTAATAGTTGACAGCCAGTGTTGAGGACCTGGAACGCCTGTAGCTACTGCGAACGTTCAGGGGTACCGCGCCGCCTGGTCCCAGGTGACAGGCGATAAGTTTGAACTGTACGTGTAGGTTGTACGGGATATGAGCCTTATGGCGACGTGGACGTACCAACACTACCTCCACCATCACTACAGCGCGGCTGATGCAACATGGTGGCAGGATATCGAGGTGGTGTTGAAGATGTTTGGGAGTCACGTGGTCCGTGCTAGCTCTCGCCCCTAGGCACTCGTATTGAATTGTACTCTACTTTCTGCACTTGTACCATACTCGAGGGAAGAAGAACACTTCTACTGTAGGTAATATATTTAAAATAATGACAGACAAAGGGAGGGACAAAGCCACAAAGGCCGTGACGAGGATTCGTTCAAGTAAATTGAAATTGAAATAAGTTTATTGAGGTAAAATGCACACAAAGGGATGAGGTAGCTCAAGCAAGTTCAAGTATGTTTATTGAGATAAGAAAGAAATACACCTCAAAGGGATAGAGTAGTTTAGGCTATTTCTATCCCCCACGAGAAAGAAATGCATCTCAAAGGGATAGAGTAGTTTAGGCTATTTCTATCCCCCACGAGAAAGAAATACATCTCAAAGGGATAGAGTAGTTTAGGCTATTTCTATCCCCCACGAGAAAGAAATACATCTCAAAGGGATAGAGTAGCTTGGCTATTTCTCCCCCCCCCCCACGACAATTCGAACCTACGTCCGAGATCATCCCAGCCGCTGCCTTAATCGTCTGAGCTACGACATGGTCATTAGGGACACTAATGATCGTACATGATGAACTATCATGTACGATCATGATAGTTCATCACGATCATCTTCGTTCATCAAGATGATAGTTCATCAAGATGATAGTTCATCAAGATTAGTTCATTAGATGAGTTCATCAAGATTAGTTCATTAGATGATTAGTTCATCAAGATGATAGTTCATCTTCGATCTCTTTATTATAAGCCAGTATAAGTATATTGTCCTACGTTAAACATATGTCCCTCTGTGACCTCTAAGTCACACCTCTACTGTTTATATCTCTGTGGATGAGGGAATAATATTACTAATCCTGTCCTGAGAAAATATATATATATAACAATTGAACTTAAGTTTTCCCCTAAACTGAGGTTTAGGGGGAAACTGACCTTAAGCCTATATACTTTTAATTCTTAATTGATAATACTTTTAAGTGAAGCACAATATAGCATGCTATACCATATCTTTTTATATATAGATACAATTGTGTGATGGTCAGTCCCATGAGACCATCCATACGTGACGTTTAAAGTTGAGACAGGTGAGAAAGCCGTGATATTTTTTTTCGTGATTGTCATATTTATTATGCATGTGTAGTCAGGAGTTTGGACTTATTCCTTTGTCTCCAGTGATCCTCAAGACCTACCTGTCTTTGTCAACAACAACCACAGCCCTTGCCAGTAGTAATAGTTTGCTCCATTACCATTGGCCACAACTAAAGACGTGTCAATAATGTTTATAGGTCATAATAATCAGCCTAAGCAGGCTGGAATAACTGGAAATACACTGGAGCCAGATTCACGAAAGCACTTACGAACGTTTACATCTTTCCTCAATCTTTGACGGCTTTGGTTACACTTATTAAACAGTTTACAAGCATAAAAACTTGCCAATCAACTGTTGTTATTGTTATAAACAGCCTCCTGGTGCTTCGGAGTTCATTAACTGTTTAATAATTGTAAACAAAGCCGCCAAAGATTGAGAAAAGATGTACAGGTTCGTAAGTGCTTTCGTGAATCTGGCCCCTGGCCTTAGGCTGTAATGTATGTCAACACGTCGGCCTCTCGGTTGCAGATATGTTGTGCTGTCATTATACAACCGCCATACAATGCCCCCGTCATTTTTTTGTATATATATTCCGTTTATTCTGGTCGAGACACGAATGTGTGGGATCCCCAACAGACCGCACAGATCACGCCTCCTTGAGAGAGCGGCCACAGTCAAGGTTGTTGCTGCTTCCGGTGAGGCAGCGCCCCTAGCATTAGGAGGGTGGGAGGGAGGGGGCAGCGTCCCCCCTAGCAGTGGGAGGGAGGCAGCGTCCCCCCCTAGCAGTGGGAGGGAGGGGGCAGCGTCCCCCCTAGCAGTGGGAGGGAGGCAGCGCCCCTAGCAGTGGGAGGGAGGGGGCAGCGTCCCCCCTAGCAGTGGGAGGGAGGCAACGTCCCCCCTAGCAGTGGGAGGGAGGCAGCGCCCCCCCTTAGCAGTGGGAGGCATCACCCCCCCCCTTAGCAGTGGGAGGCACCCCCCCCCTTAGCAGTGGGAGGCAGCGCCCCCCCCCCCTAGCAGTGGGAGGGAGGGTAAAAGCTAACAGGATGATAACAGACGTAAGGATGGTGCGGTGTTATCCTGTTTTTGTCTTTGATTCCATGTATGACAAACCATCCTGTGAGATTAAGATATTCGATGTCTCACGGCCACATTTGCCCTCAATAGAATCCTTGCTACAGTTACCAAAGTTAATATATTTAGACGCAGTCTGTTAGGCATTTTTAAGTTTAAATGTTTACTGTTACTTTGTTATTTAAATTTGCTGTATCTACACACGATACAGAAAGAATTGTATGGATTTGTACCGGCTATTTTTCAATACAGTTTCTCATTATTCATTACAGGCCACTGTAGAATTCTTACTTGAGTCACAGTGTCCAGAAATATGTTATGTGTCTGAAAATAGGCTATATGTACACAAAAATAGGCTACATGTACACAAAAATAGGCTATATGTACACAAAAAAAAGCTACATGTACACAAAAATAGGCTATATGTACACAAAAATAGGCTACATGTACACAAAAATAGGCTATATGTACACAAAAATAGGCTACATGTACACAAAAATAGGCTATATGTACACAAAAATAGGCTATATGTACACAAAAATAGGCTATATGTACACAAAAATAGGCTATATGTACACAAAAATAGGCTATATGTACACAAAAATAGGCTATATGTACACAAAAATAGGCTATATGTACACAAAAATAGGCTATATGTACACAAAAATAGGCTATATGTACACAAAAATAGGCTATGTGTACACAAAAATAGGCTATATGTACACAAAAAAAAAGCTACATGTACACAAAAATAGGCTATATGTACACAAAAATAGGCTATATGTACACAAAAATAGGCTATATGTACACAAAAATAGGCTATATGTACACAAAAAAAAAGCTACATGTACACAAAAATAGGCTATATGTACACAAAAATTAGGAACGTTCAGCAATATATATATATATATATATATATATATATATATATATATATATATATATATATATATATATATATATATATATATGTGTGTGTATATCACGAAAATAAACACGTGATTTAAAAATGTGACAATGTCAGACCACGGAGGAAAAATGAAACAGGAATTTCCTTAAGTACTTTCGTATATTAATACATCTTCAGAAGGAGTGAAGATGTATTAATATACGAAAGTACTTAAGGAAATTCCTGTTTCATTTTTCCTCCGTAGTCTGACATTGTCATATATATATATATATATATATATATATATATATATATATATATATATATATATATATATATATATATATATATATATATATATATATAATATGCATTAAAATAGGCTATCTTGAAGTTATCTTGAGATGATTTCGGGGCTTAGCGTCCCTGCGGCCCGGTCCTCGACCAAGCCTCCTTTTTGTTACACACCCTCTTAGGAAGCAGCCCGTAGCAGCTGTCTTAACTCCCAGGTACCTATTTTCTGCTAGGTGAACAGAGGCATCAGGGGTGAAAGAAACATTTTGGCCATTTGTCTCCGCCTCCACCGGGGATCGAACCCGGAACCTCAGGACTACGAATCCGAAGCACTGTCAGCTGTCAGGCACTATGAATTCCGTGTATTGTGGATTGAACGTGATCCAAATTATATACGATTGTATGATAAAGGTTTGGTAAGGTTTAATTGAGACTACAGTAGTTGATAACTGTATTGTATTTTGTTATGTAAATATAACGATTGTATTATTGTATTTTCAGTTCTCTTCCCGTCGCTGTTCTGAAAATAATTGCCCTGCCAACAGTTGCTCTCAGACGCAGGTTCGAATCCTCGTCACGGCCCTTGACGATTTGTCCTACCAGCTCTGCTCAAGGTAAGGTGATATGTTTGTCTGGTGTTTCTATACAAAAATTAATACTGATTTTGTTTTGGTAATATTGTCTTTTTTTTTGAGATATATAGAAGAGTTGTTACATGGTTGTAGAGCCACTAGTACGCGTAGCGTTTCGGGCAGGTCCCTGGAATACGATCCCCGCCGCGAAGAATCCTTGTTACAACCAAGTACACATTTTACTGTTGAGTTAAACAGAGGCTACAGTTAAGGAATTGCGCCCAGTAAATCCTCCCCGGCCAGGATACGAACCCAGGACAAAGCGCTCGCGGAACGCCAGGCGAGTGTCTTACCACTGCACCACGGAGACTGATTTATTTTCAATGTCTTATTTCAATCCATTTGATGGGGGGGGGGGTTGCATTTTATATTGAATCTTTTCTACTGTAAAGTAAAAAAGATTCAAATAGTCACCAATAGACGAACTTTTTTGAGCCGAACTTTTTTTTCTAATTAGGATATAAACATTTGTAAATTTTAATTTGATATTAGAATGAAAGAAGTATTTTGTTTTTGTTTTTTCAGTAATTATTAATATATTTTTGAATGGGCTTTTGGTATTTTCATGAGGATAGAATCCATAACATTTCCCTGAACATTGGTTTGTATGGCAATGAAAATTACCATATGAATGAAAATCATTTTGAGGCAGAGACTCACCTTCACCTGTGTGTGAAGGTGAGTCATTCATTAATGGTGAGAGGAGGCTTTACTCCTTGTTGCTGAGTCATACCCACGCTCCTTGCCCATGACTGGGGGGTAGGGGGGGGTGTTGAAGGTGTTAGGCAAGCATGAGGTGCTTAGGGTGCTAGGCAAGCAACAGGTGCTTGGCCTCGCTGGCAACGGATTTGAACCAGCGTCCAGGACCCACGTTATAAAGATGATACAACCTGCGTTTCTCCTGAATTCACTAAGGTCTCTGGGGGCACCGAGCTGGTAGCCAACCCAAGTTTTACCCATAATCCCCCCCCCACCCCCCTCCATGCCCTCTGGGGTAGGTACCATACCCTCTGGGGTAGGTATTGGGCACTGTAGCGATAACGTAAGCTTTTAAGGGTTGATAAATGTTAATCTTCTTGTTTGAGGAGCTGTTCACTTGAGACAGTTAAGCAAGTCCCAGCTGTGTCTGGGTACAAGTGACAGGATGAACAACCCAGCGGGGTTTCTTCCTATTGGGGAGTGTTGTACATTCTGCTATGGCGGTATGTTCACTCACAAGATGAGTGGCGCTGCCCAATAAACTCGCCCCTCGGGGCAAAATTTAAATTTAAGGGTGTGTTGTTCAGCCTGGAGTTGCCCGCCCCGTCACCACCCAACCTGTGAGTCACTTTCTTGCCTGGAGTCTGTGTGTGTTTTCATTCATGTCTCTCCCACCCACTCTCTTCCTTGTCCTCTGGCTTGTCCGCCCTCTGCCTTGTCGACCCTCTGCCTTGTCGACCCTCTGCCTTGTCCACCCTCTGCCTTGTCCACCCTCTGCCTTGTCCACCCTCACCCTAGATGTGTCCCCACCTACCGTCTGGGCGCTACCCACATTATATGAGGGGAGGGGGACAGGTAGACTAGCAGTATAATAGGTTAAGCTGCTTGTGTGTGTCGGCGTGGTGAGGTGTCGCCAACCTGGGTCTCTCTCTCTCAATAAAGGGTTGGATATAATTAAGCCCATCCCGCTCCTGTTCCAGGTCCACTCCGGGCTCACCATAGCCCGTGCTACTTGCAACTTTGGTTCAGAGGTGAAGCTAAGACAACAACGTCGTATAACACTCTCCTCCCCCCGACACAGCCTAATTGTGAGTTGTTAATTTTCTTAATGGTTTGATTTGTAACGGTGGTTACACTAACAAGCCAGGGAGGATTGACTGGGCGCCAGTCCTTAACTGTAGCCTGTGTTCACCCAGCAGTGAATGGCTTGTTAAAGGATTTGGTGGGAGGTATTGTGGGGGAAATTAGGACTAAGGTCCTGCGGGGAACACTACGTGTGATGGTGGTTATCTTGAGATGACTTCGGGGCTTTAGTGTCCCCGCGGCCCGGTCCTCGACCAGGCCTCCACCCCCAGGAAGCAGCCCGTGACAGCTGACTAACACCCAGGTACCTATTTTACTGTTAGGTAACGGGGGCATCAGGGTGAAAAAAACTCTGCCCATTGTTTCTCGCCGGCGCCTGGGATCGAACCCGGGACCACAGGATCACAAGTCCAGTGTGCTGTCCTAGGCGATGTATCACGTTCAAGTATGTTTATTGAGACAAGAAAAAATACATCTCAAAGGGATAGAGTAGCTTGGTGAGCCGGTGGCTGAGCGGACAGAACACTGGGCGCGTGATCCTGGGTTCGATCCCGGTCGCCAGCGAGAAACGATGGGTAGTTTCTTTCGCCCTGATGCTCCTGTTACCTAGCAGTAAAATAGGTACCTGGGTGTTAGTCAGCTGTCACGGGCTGCTTCCTGGGGGAGGAGGCCTGGTCGAGGACCGGGCCGCGGGGACACTAAAGCCCCGAAATCATCTCAAGATAACCTCAAGGGTATTTCTACCCCCCTTGCGCGATGTCTCAAGCAGGTATTAGTTGAGAGGATGGGTTGCGTGGCGGCGCGCGGTCCTTATCCTGCCTAATCCTTATCCTGCCTAATCCTTATCCTGCCTAATCCTTATCCTGACTAATCCTTATCCTGCCTAATCCTGCTAATTATCACAGCTGGGCTTTCACGGTCATCATCTGGTGAGTGAGGGTAGTTGTGGCTGGAGCCCGCACTAACAACCTGGGGTGCTCCTGGACGCAGGTTCGAATCCCCGTCACGGCCCTTGTGGATTTGTTAACCTGGGGGTAATCCTCTACTGCTCCCTGCTCTTGTCAACTTACTCCTTGAAGGCCTCAACACCCCGCCTGTGGACTCTCAGCCACCTTGCAAGGCTTCTACTGGCTTGTTGCCATTTATTGTATGTTGTAAAGTTACTACTGTGTAACTTTGGAGTGTCAAGAATATGTTATACTCTAGAATTGTGTAAATACACGTTATTAGCATTAGTGGAGACAGACAGAGACACACACACACACACACACACACACACACACACACACACACACACACACACACACACACACACACACACACACACACACACACACACATCAGAGGCAATGTATCGGACTGGAGAAATGTCACAAGTGGAGTACCACAGGGTTCAGTTCTTGCACCAGTGATGTTTATTGTCTACATAAATGATCTACCAGTTGGTATACAGAATTATATGAACATGTTTGCTGATGATGCTAAGATAATAGGAAGGATAAGAAACTTGGATGATTGTCATGCCCTTCAAGAAGACCTGGACAAAATAAGTACATGGAGCGCCACTTGGCAAATGGAATTTAATGTTAATAAATGCCATGTTATGGAATGTGGAATAGGAGAACATAGACCTCACACAACCTATATATTATGTGAGAAATCTTTAAAGAACTCTGATAAAGAAAGAGATCTAGGGGTGGTTCTAGATAGAAAACTATCACCTGAGGACCACATAAAGAATATTGTGCGAGGAGCCTATGCCACGCTTTCTAACTTCAGAATTGCTTTTAAATACATGGATGGCGATATACTAAAGAAATTGTTCATGACTTTTGTTAGGCCAAAGCCAGAATATGCAGCGGTTGTGTGGTGCCCATATCTTAAGAAGTACATCAACAAACTGGAAAAGGTGCAAAGACATGTTACTAAGTGGCTCCCAGAACTGAAGGGCAAGAGCTACGAGGAGAGGTTAGAGGCATTAAATATGCCAAAACTAGAAGACAGAAGAAAAAGAGATGATATGATCACTACATACAAAATAGTAACAGGAATTGATAAAATCGATTGGGAAGATTTCATGAGACCTGGAACTTCAAGAACAAGAGGTCATAGATATAAACTAGCTAAACCCAGATGCCGAAGAAATATAAGAAAATTCACTTTGACAAACAGAGTGGTAGACGGTTGGGACAAGTTAGGTGAGAAGGTGGTGGAGGCCAAGACCGTCAGTAGTTTCAAAGCGTTATATGACAAAGAGTGCTGGGAAGACGGGACACCCCGAGCGTAGCTCTCATCCTGTAACTACACTTAGGTAATTACACTTAGGTAATTACACACACACACACGCTCGAGAGGCCGGCGGGGGTGGGGGGAAAGGTCCTAGCATGGATAAGGAACTACCTAACAGGAAGGAGCCAAAGAGTTATGGTAAGGGGCGAGAAGTCGGACTGGCGAACAGTAACAAGTGGAGTACCACAAGGATCGGTGCTGGGACCAATTCTATTTCTTGTAAATGTTAACGACATGTTTACAGGCGTAGAGTCCTACATGTCGATGTTTGCGGATGACGCAAAGTTGATGAGAAGAGTTTTGACAGACGAGGATTGTAGGATCCTCCAAGAGGACCTGAACAGGTTGCAGAGATGGTCAGAGAAATGGCTACTGGAATTCAACACGAGCAAGTGTAAAGTTATGGAAATGGGACTAGGAGATAGGAGACCAAAGGGACAGTACACAATGAAGGGGAACAGCCTACCTGTAACGATGCGTGAAAGAGACCTGGGGGTGGACGTAACACCTAATCTATCTCCTGAGGCACATATAAATAGGATAACGACAGCAGCGTACTCTACACTGGCAAAAGTTAGAACATCATTCAGAAACCTAAGTAAGGAGGCATTTAGGGCGCTTTACACTGCCTACGTAAGGCCAGTCTTAGAGTATGCCGCCTCATCATGGAGTCCCCATCTGAAGAAGCATATAATGAAACTGGAAAAGGTTCAGAGGTTTGCAACGAGACTCGTCCCAGAGCTACGAGGGATGGGGTATGAAGAGCGCCTGAGGGAACTGTGCCTTACGACACTAGAAAGAAGAAGGGAGAGGGGGGACATGATAGGAACGTATAAGATACTCAGAGGGATTGACAGAGTGGACATAGACGAAATGTTCACACGGAATAGTAACAGAACGAGAGGACATGG